ATTAGTTTTAGATGAGAGTGAGGGAAGGCTAGAACCCCTTTTAGACCTTTATAGCTTTTCAGTAATTCAAGAGAATTCTGTTCTCCTGACAATGTTTAACCAAAGTATGGGGATCTCTGTGTCCCTGTTGCACATTCCCTCACTTCCTGTCCAGTAAAACCATTGTCAGGATAAGAATGAATAAATCTAAGAGTACAGACGGTAGTAAAAGCACAAACAAAATTAATTAATCAAATTAATCAAACTATAGAAAAAAATTTTTTTTTTGGATTAACATATTAACCTCTTGGCAATGGCAGTGCACAAATATGTGGACTGTTGGGGAGAAGGGGGGTTGGGGGTTGAGAGCGCGTGCCCTGCATGCTCCCAGCACAGTTACCCATGCCTATTGGGAAGCTCCCGATCTCTACTTGTGATCAGCTTTCTGATCATGTGACTACTTTGACAGCCAATTACATGATCATAAACCCCACCCCACTTCCCAGCGTCACAAACCCCCTAAAGAACTGGGAGGTGCAGCGCCAAGGGGTTAGTCCACTGTCAAAGCTCTACAAGTCAATGAAACCAAATGTGCAGCATTTATTTCAAACAGTGCACCACACACAGATGGGCCCACATAAAATGTGTAAGAGCTTTGGTTGGTATTTAAAATGGACTGATTGTTAAGGCAACCCACTGATGTGAAAGGTCCCATAAACCCAAAAAAGAAAAAAATACTTTTATTCTGTACATCTGTATAACTGCCTAATATTCTACTTTAATAAAACTGAATAGAAAATTTCATAAACTTTTTGCATGTATAAATGAAAGACAACATCAAACTTGTATAGAAAACACAAACATTTATTTAAAGAAAAACTCAAATATCTGAAAAAAATTGTGTCCCCTGAATAAAGGCCGATTTGAAGCTCTGAAACCCTTTTCCCAAAAGAAAGGTTACATGCCCCCACGGATCTCTGGGGTTAAGCCCTTTACAAGAGGAGTTCCAGATTTACAGGCCTGCTTTTAAACAAACCGTGTAACTACATATACAAACAGGGTCATCAGATTACCAGAAAAGCTATCGGCTATGTACAGAGGTAGATAAGTGTATGTGGCACACCAATAAGGAAATACAGTACATGTGACTGATATCCAGTCTGTGAGATGTGGGAAAGGACCTAATCATCCTGTGAGCATGAATTGCTGATCTAAATATCCCCTTATAGTCTTAACTCAAGCCAACAACAATTTTAAACATAAAATTAAGTCAACACGCAAAATAAAAAGCATTAAAATTTACAAATTGAAAGACAAGGCATGCTTTTTTTATTGACAACATTTTACTACGAGTCTACAGCTAGGCTGCACTCCTACCCTCATCAAGTGTCTGAAGGAACAGATGTTCTCAATGACCTTACTCGCCATATTCCCATTTTCTCATATACGACTGCAGCCATGAAAGAAATAATCTAATTGGCTGAAGGGCAATAAGACCAAGTATTCCTTCAGAGAATCACCATTGACTTGTGTGAAACACAGGAAGCCACCATGCTTTATCTTAGAGGTAGACACTAAATCTAAAACATACTAAGCATAATACTCATTCAAGTATGATATACTCCCAGCAACCTGTAAAAATTTATGATTCTTGCTAAAAATAAATATGGTGAATTTCAGAGTGCTTAAATAAGGTTTCAAGGATCATCAATACAAAATTTGTCCAGAGGTTAAGGGCAGTCAGCATGAGCAGTTAGGGCAATGTCAGGTAGAAATTTGTACTGTTGTGTCAATATTTGAATGTTCTTTATTACAAAGAAAAACAATTTAGAATAAAAAAAAAAAAAACAAAAACAAAAAAAAACACACCATTAATGCAGTTGGAAACAATTGCCCCCCTTCCCCATCACACACTGCTGCATCAGACCATCCTGTAACCTCCTGCACCAGCCTTCATTGGCAGTTCAGGATACCGCAAATGTGCAGATTTTCTTCATAAGCGCCAACAGAGAAGCTATTCTAAGTGCATGCCTGCAGGGAGATCGCTTCTCCCATATGCCTATGGAGAATCATGAACAGTTCCATCACAGAAAGCTGGTTCAGCGAAAAGGACTGCAAAGCCACAAAAGCCAGACTAGACTGAAGCCTGGTGGAGGAGGTCACCTGCTATTATGAGATACTGTAGGTAGTGTAGGAAATACAGAGGCAAGGCTGGCCCCAGCTATATTAAGGGCCTGATCACACTTCTGCATGCATTAAAACCACCTTTTGCAAAGTAATACACCTGCACTCCTTTTGTCAATGCAATATACCACAACACAAAGCAATGACATCCGAGCACTGTAGTGTGCTATTGGGGACACAAGTTTTTATTCTTGCTGCACTTTGTGCACTAGGGACCTATTAAATATAAAATAGTGAGACTTTTTTTGGTCTGCTATCAACACCTGCATTTTACAGATGCTGTCTGACATTAGCAAATGTATAGAAGACCACTTGCCCTTCTGAGAATTTACCGCCCTTCCTGACCAGGCCATTTTTTTGCATTACGGGGCTGTGTTACTTTAACTGACAATTGCGCGGTCCTGCAATGCTGCACCCAAATGAAATTTACGTCCTTTGTTCCCCACAAATTGAGTTTCCAGTGGTATTTGATTGCTTGTGTGTTATTTCTGTTTGGTTCTTTCTATAGCACAAAAAAAAAAAAAAAAAAAGACCAACAATTGAGAAAACAATATTTTTGACTTTTTGCCATAAAACATGTCCAGTGTAAAAAGAAAAAAAAAATAGACTTTGTCATAAATTTAGGCCAAAATTTATTCTGCTACGTCTTTGCTGAAAAAAAAAAAAAAAAAAAAAAAAAATCCCCACTGTGTATTTATACTGCTGTCACGTAAACCACATATTGGGATTTTTTTTTTTTTTTTTTTTCAGCAAATTAACTGGTTTACGTGACAGCAGTATAAATACACAGTGGGGTTTTTTTTTTTTTTTATTTTTTTTTTTATTTTTACTAGTAATGACAGCGCTCAGCGACAGAGGGACTGTGGCGGGCATTCTGACACTAGGGGGAACTGTCACCGAAATCCCCAGCAACACCAATACAGTGATGAGTGCTGAAAAAGGAAAAAAAGAGAAAAAAAAAAAAAAAAAAAAAAAAAAAAAAAAGCACCGACACCCTACTAATGGCACTGGGCAGGAAGGGGTTAACATGAGGGGGCAAATCAAAAGGTTAACTGTGTTCCGTTTTTACTTGTGTGTGCTTCACTGTAAGCACACTGCTTTGGATGGTTGTGCTGTGCACAGCCATCTAAAGCAGTGTGCGCGAGCTGAGAGGAAGAACATTTTTTTTTTTTTTTTTAAACCAGTTCTTCTCCCTGTTGGAGATGCTCGACAATCACCGGGGTGCCGATGAGTAATCACTGGCCAGGACTTGGTGATTGACAGCTACAGCACGGGTAGGGCACGCGCACGCCCCCTACCGGGCAATGCAAATATGACGCACGCGCAATTTTGCTCACCCATGCCGCCCTGTAGTAGTATTTCTGCTATAGGGCGGGCGGGGAGCGGTTTAAGAGAATTTACCATGAAAATCAAAATCTGCTAATATAAAAACCAACCCTTGCTTACTTGGTAAAGGAAGGGAGATAGGTCTACAGTACATTTACTGTATACTTTGCAAAAACAAAACAGATGCAGAGCTGCTTTCAGAAACAAAGCAGGTTTGTAATGCCACAGACAACAAGTCTCCGATAACAGCGTTTAACTAAATAAATTGCATAGGACTTGTGCATTCAGTAGAATGTAGACTGATAAACTGCTCTGCCACAAAGAGGCAAGTCTATCCAAAATGAAAACCTTTGTTTTGGTTTAAATCTGGTAGGTGTGACCGTCCACTGAGTCTACAACAAATGGGTATCTGAATGAGAAAAACACCCCTAGGCAAGTACAACTCCTAAATTTTACCTTTGGTTTATGCAAAACAAAACAGTATATAACCAGGCTGTGAGGATTTATCTACAAAGCCCTAAGAAGGTATGTTAAGGGGCAGGTATTGCCACTACCAAAGTCAAGTGAGATGTGAAATTGGCATGGTATGAATAGCTGGTATACCCAAAACATTTAACGGCTTGTTTCTAGCAGAAAGCATAGGAAAACGGACGTTGGGTTGATTTATTCTGCCATAAGATGCACACGCACACACACGGCAGAGATTTCTGGGAAAAGATTTGATACTTTAATCTGCTCACAATGTAAAATTTAGCTAAAGACATATCAACTCATCTGGAAACCAGTCCTATGGACAAATGACCTTGCGAGCATCCGCCCAAAAGTTTTCCGTTTCAGGCAGACTTTGCGATTGGTGACATAATCCCATTACACATTCTCTTGGAAGTTCAGTACAAGAGTACCCAGATTCTGAACTGCATCAAAAGAATTTGGTCTGTATGAGGACAAACATTTTTACTTTAGCACAAATTCTCTTACTGGTTCACCATATTCATCTCTAGGGAAAACAGATCTATTGATTTAAAAAAAAAAAAAAAAAAAAAAAAAAACAAAAAACCACACACTAAAAAAAAAAAGAAATCTCTCCATCCTTTTTGTCATCTCTATCTACCCAAGAGGGCCCAAGTTGCCAGTTATATAGGACTGAACTAACCACATAATAAAGTCAGTTTTTTGCTCAAGTAAATATCTCCATCCCCTAGGGATACTATCAGAAATAACATTATATAGGATATATAAATAACAATTTTCAGCATTGCATATATTTATTTAACATTATTTCTGCTCTCTAAGCAATAAGCTAAAATAAATAAAAAATGTGAGGCAATCTCTCAATCCCAGGAAATAACTGTAGCACATAGAAGGTAACAATAAGGCACTCCATGAGATAAGTAACTCGAGGTGGAGAACCTTGAGGAGAAAAGGCTTTACATTCGCTGGGAACATACAGATTAACAGTCTATACTCAAAACAAAATACAATAAATAAGGGGGATCTTCGGCCAGCATTTGTCACTGGTGTTTCTCCACTGCTATACCGACTTCAGCATGACGAATGGTACGGCCATGCAGCTTGTACCCATCCAATAGGACAGTTGCTATACTTCCAGATCTTCTTCCCTCAGCAGGAACGTGACAAACGATTTTATGGTCATAAGGGTCGTAGTCACCTCCCACTGGTGTCATTTTATGTAGTCCATGCTTAATGAATATGCCCTGCAGCTTCTCATCGATTGCAGACAAGATATCAGACATTTCCTTCACTCCCTCGTTTGTGGATTGGTCAACAGCGTTCTCCACGATATCAGCCACCTCCACTAGGTCACGACAGAAGCTCTGGATACCTAAAAATTAAAAGCAAAATCAGTATAAGCAGTAGCTATCAAATGTGTCCTAGCAAAGCCAATTCATATCCAAAATTTTACATAAAAACAGATTGTTATCTAAAAGCAATCCTGGTCTTCCGATCCATGAAGTAAGTAACCTGGATGCTAAATGATTTGTTGCACAAACTTTACAAGCACATACATTAAAGAAACCCTTTTCTAAACACAATGTGCAATGTTTCATTTTAAAACAGAAGGCCTTTACATAACATCAATACAAATGTAAAAAAAGGTTAAATACGAATAGAGGAAACAGTGGTCAGAACTATCCAAAACCATTCTTTTGTTTTGATTGCTAGGGCATTACTGTTCAGTTCTGCTATAGGGCCCAACACACTAACATAACACACCTTTACTGCACTGCAATGCATAGTAAAACATTGTGAGTTGGTGTACTGCACAATAATGTGTACTGGTGTCAATGGAATAGTGCCCCATCACTGGTGTCAGTGGGATGAATAGTGCCCCAAGGGACAGATAAAAGCAAGCAGTAGGCAGCAGTTTGGAGACCATTGACAGAGTATAGGGGGATTGGAACTAGTCAGGTTTTTACTGCCGTCTGTCCCCTAATTAGGGTGATCCTCTATTTGTCCTCTTTACTATTGTCATCAAAAGTAAAAGAAAATCCCCCATTTTGGGTTGACATCAAAACAGCAATAGAGGGGAACGCTTCCAATGGAATTCCCTCACTTTATAGAGATGGGATAGAAATTAAAGTGAAATCTCCTCAATAGGACACAGATTTGCCAAAAACTGGCAGGGATTATAACCCTTTTATACTCTAGTGACACTAATTTTATCCATTCCATGCTTCTCTACATCCTCTAACTACTGCTGATCAGCAGATGCTAACAGAGAATCAGAGTTTGTTTAAAAATTATGCTAATAAAAGACAAATTCTATTGTATTGATTCTTTCCTCTTCGTGTTAATGAGTACACTGATATGCTTTGCCGAGTGGTAATGGACCTAAAAAAATGCACATTCCCATTTTTCACTAGTATAAGGAAAGGTACAGATCTCAAAAATGTATTCTGTCCTAGACTCCTTTAAAACAAAAAGACACCATTTAACCACCTCCCGTCTGCCTGTTGTAGATAAATGGCCGGACGGTGGCAGTGCAGGGTCGGGTGGCCGTTTATAAACAGCCTCCCCGCACCCTGCTTGTGCGCGCTCCCAGGGAGCGTGCAGCACCGCAATCCGGTGCCCGCTGTGTCCTCCGGACACAGTGGAATACCGATCGTTTCAGGCGACCTCTGTACAAGGTCCCGATTATGTGATCGCTGACTGGCCAATCAGTGATCACATGCAACGTAGTAAGCAAGATGTCACTTGTGACATCATTGCTTACTATGTGTGAAATCTGTGAATGATCACAGAAGTCACATGGTACAAGGCTATTCACAACAGCCTTGTACCATGTGACAAGCAGTGACCAATCACAGCTCTCACAGTATTTCTCAATGGCTGCACGAATACAGCTAGAGAGCAGGAGAAATGATTACTTTTACATCCTTTATGGGTGTAAAAGCAATCAGTGTAAAAAAAAAAAACAAAAAAAAAAAAACAAATCATCACCCCCCACAAGTAGTACAGTGTCACCATGGCGACACTGTACTGATAGGGTGACAGTATGTAAAAAAAATAAGTAAAAGATATTAAAAAAAAGTTAAAAAAAAAAAATGTTTAAAAATTATAATTTTGGTTATAAACTAATTTGGGTTATTTTTTTTTTTACTAAAAATATAAAAAACGGAATAAATTTTGGCCAAGATTTATGATTAAATACTATTTATTTGCAAAATTTTATAAGAAACACTTTCTAAATTTTTGGACTTTTTAATTTACATAGCAAAAAAAAAAAAAATAAAAAAATCACAGTGGTGAATAAATACCACCAAAAAATATAGCTCTGTCTCAAAAAAATGCTAAAAAATTCATATGGGTACAGCGTTGCATGACCGCGCAATTGTCAAAGTGTGATAGCACTGAAAGCTGAAAATTGGCCTGGACAGGAAGGGGGTAAAAGTGTCCAGACTGGAAGTGGTTAAAAAGTTACTCAGTTCACAGGCTCTAATGTACTACAGAACGTTACAAAGACAGAAGGATCACTAGCCAGAACGGACAAAACTCTGTGGTTAGACACTGAATACAGTGTAACCCTGTCCTTGTCAACCGATAGTAACCCTCATTTCCTGGACTAAATCCAGCTTTGCCTACAAGTTCACGCACACATCTGTGTACAGCATGCCAAGACAGACAGTCACAGAAAATTCAGCCAGGACAACAATTACTCCTTAGGTTTTTATTTTGTTTTAGTTAACCAGTCAAATGTCCTTTACAGCCTCATATATCTTACCAAATACTTTGGCATCCTCCACAAACTTCTGAGTTCTTTTTTCTGACATTTTCAGAATCGCTTACAGCCCTCTGGTATTGATCCTAGCAAACAAAAAGACAAATTAAAGTACATATTTAAGCTTCAGATATATAACCCTTAAAAAGCAAAATAATTAACAAGTATCCCAAGTGGGTCCCTTTATCTCAATTAAACCGTAGATTGAAAACTGAAAACTGAATGGGCAGCACACCACATTATGCTTTTAAAGAACACACATCATTACATTAACATTGGGGATGCTATTGCTGGTCTCCTGTGCAGAAGCAACCTGTCTGGCTTTAAAGTGTTCCTAAACCCAGGATCCTGCATTCACTATATCTGGTCTCCCACAGTACACACAACATTGAAATTCAGTTATTTTAGTAAATATAAACTGCTAAATACCTTTTCCCCCTCAGTAGTATATATGGACTTTTATCAGAGTCCAGCCGAGCACTGGTTAAAGCTCGTCGGAGTTTTCATTCTCCTCTACCTGTCCTATAAGGCTGCATAACCCCCAACCATGTCTGGATAGCGCTGATTGGCCCTGTGCTGATCACATGCACCCTCCCAAACGGGGAAAAAAAAAAAAAAAAAAAAAACCACCGCTCTAGACATACATAGCATGTGCAGAGCAACTCCTAGAGCTCTACTATCAGCAGATTGGAGACAGTAGAAGGGGAGGATAAGAGAAGACCAGATCAAGCTTTTACACAATGCAGAGGATTAACCCCTTAGGTTCCACAGTGAGTATAACAAGCATGCTTTACTGCATCTCCAGGCTGATTTTACTGTTTTGGGTTTAGTAACATTTTAAAGTACTATTAAAGTGATTTAAACTTAAAAAAAAAAACAAAAAAAAAAAAAAACACACACACAAACCAGGATTTTTATGGCAGAAGAGACCCTATTGGTCTCTTCTGCCATAAATGCTTCCACCTGCCACGTATGTGCAGCTCAAAGTACATTACGGCACCACTTCTGAGCCATGGCAATTAGTACCGTGTGCATGCACAGAAGTGACCTCATTGCGGCTGAACAGAGCAGACCTGGAAGGAAAACCAGCTCAATATAGAAGTGCTTTCGCACTATGAGTTTAGTACCACTTTAAACCTTCAGTATAGCATTGATGTTTACCATTTACATTAGGCTTCAACCAAATTATAGCGAACATATTTTCTTTGGTAGGGCCTCCTCTTCGTTTAACTGTTATTCACTTCCCCTTCCTTCACCGCTTCCCCAAACTTCACCCACGGTGCAAATTTGTCTCTGCTCAAAGTTGTTGTAAACCTTAGGCTCCTTTTCCCCTGCTTTCCCCGGCTGAGCAAGCGGATGGCTGGTCCGTGTCCACTCCGTTTATGCAGAGCAGACACAGTCCAATGTCCTGTATAGGCAGTCAGATGTAAACAGAAACCATGTCTGTTTATACCCGACTGTCATCCAATTCAATCCAATACATGAATGGGGAACGGATCCCTATTAGTTTGTTTTTAGCGAATAGGAATGGATCGGATGTAAACTGGCATAGTGGGGGGGGGGGGGGGGGGCTGCATAAAAAAAATGATCAGTCCACCCGTGTGAAAAGGGCCTTTGACTTAAAGATGAATAAAGCACATCCTTCTATACTGTGTACTTGCCTCTATCCAAAGCACTGAATGTGTGCCACCTCTTTCCTTTTTCATGTTTTATCACCATGAGTCACTTCAGACAGCTTTTCCCCCCACACCATGAGGAAAAAAAGGCATGAGGCAATTTCAGCCAGTTTCTGTTTACAACAACCAGTAGATGCATCCCACTACCAAACAGTTTTCATTGGCAATGATAAATAATCTAAACTTCTTAGCTTGCTGTAATCTTTTCAGTAATTATTGAAATCTGGTTGAAAGTGGCTTAAATTTTGTAATTATGCCAATTATACTGAATTTACTTGAAATTGAACATTGGGGGGGCCAACAATCTTTAAGTGAACAAGAAAGACACTATGGTGTATGAAACATACAATTAATCTAATATAGGGGGTCTTCAAACTATCTAATCAAAAGGGCCAGTTTACTGTTCCTCAGGCTTTAGGGGGGCCAGACTGGCCAGTGGGAGCCAAAAACTCCCTGGCATCAGTACTCCATCATTGGTTTTAATGGGAGGAATAGTGCCCCAATGCTGCCATCAATGACATTAGTACCCCACTGATGGTGTCCGTAGGGGTAATGGAGCTCCAATTTGGTGTCAGTTGGTGGAATAGTGCACAATTATTCTTAGCCACAAGAAAAGGTGCATCCCCAGTCCATCACTCTATTTATCCCTCAGCAATTTAGCACTGGTCTACCATAACTGAACATTGGATAGTGCATGAATGCAAGTAGTACTAAATTAACGCACATGCATTATGCTGCATGTTAACGTGTGCTGCCTTAGTGCACTGGATGCCTTTCAAATTGCACCACACAACACATTATGTGTGTTACTGCAACACAAGGCGTGAATCTAACCTCACGGGCAGTTCACACTGGGAATTGCACAAAATGCACTGCGCGTTTTTGTGCAATTCACATGCGGTGCGATATGAAGCCATTAATTTTCAATGGGCTGAATTGCACTGGACCACAGCAAAAATTAGTGCATGCGCTACTTTGAAAAACAAACTGCATTTGCCTGCATCAGATCGCATAGTACAGAAGTACCAAGTGATCTGGTTGCAAACACGTTAGCCACCTGCATTTGGGGTGTCGTTGGCATGGACACCCCATGCAGATTGCTTGCAGTGAGTTTTGAACATGGTGCAGGAAATGCATGGAATACAGGTTTCTTGCACTGTGTTCTGGTGTGAATGGGCCCTCAAGCATTATATACAGCAGGCGCCTCTTCATTTAATAAAACTGTGCCTCTACAGCAAATAAGGAAGGGAACTTTAGAATTTCCTTCAAAGTATTTAAGCAAACCTGCAAACTTGCAGAAGAAAAAAAAAAAAAAAAAAAAAAAAAAGGTTCTCAGTACTGCTCCTTTTGTGCCACAATATGTTTAACATTAGGTGAAGTAGGACATTGTGCAGATGACCAGCTAACGGTTATTAGCAACATCGCTACACTTGTGAAAAAAGACTGGCATGGAACTCACCTTTAAACTTTGCACTTCCTCCTCCAACTTCAAAGCTCTCTTCTCTAGTGTCCTCACAGCGTAGGATCCGTCATCCACAGTGCCATTTGCAGTTGTCTTGTCTCCAGAACTTCTCTGCTGAGGAGCTGTACTGTATGCACATACAGAACTCCTGAAATGAGAAAAACGTGTGAGAAACAGGTTAACATTGTAGGCAAAATCCCTAGGTTTACTTGTCTGTACGTTTAATCAAAGCCAGGGACATCAAGCAGCCTAAAGCTGGTCATACATGGAATAACATTCTGCGGGTTCAGCAGGAACTGACTAAATTTCAACCCATCTATGACCATGCCTGCTAATAAGAAGTCAATTAATAGATCAACCTCTCATGAACAGTCCTGCTGGAAAATTTTCATTTGATTTGAGAGAGTGTGATGCCATCAGTCTGCCTCTCCCCCTTAGCCAATCAGAGAAAGCTTTGTTTTCATTCACAGAATTCAAGACTGGCTATGAATGGCTGAGCGCCGCTCAGCCCGACTCTGGGTGTGAGATGGAAAGTCCCAGTACTGTGTATAGCTGAAGCTAGATGCAGTACATGCAGTATTTAGTGCAGCACTTGGTGAAGGAGATAGTTTCTTTGGACCAGCTCAGTCCAACCAAACTATTTAAAGTCACAGAAAACCCAAAGATTAGCTTTAAGGCTGCCTTTCAAGCTACAACTGGATTTTGTAAGAATGTCATGGTATGTCCCCAGTGTAGCGTGCACTTATTCTACTCAGTCTTTCAGCATTGCTGCTACACACCCATGGGTAGTCTTCCCACTTTGTGTCAGATATCAGCAACACCTACTAGAATACACACTGGTCACAGTGAGAATGTCTCCTTCTTCATACAATTCTTAGTTACTGGCTGCCAAATTTCTCTATCCCAATATTTAAGGCACAGCTGCCTTGCAGCATGTCAAAGGGTTCAGAAAGTACATGAAAAAACTGCTAAAATGTAAGAATAAAGACCCTCAATAAGCCCTAACCACAAAATCTGAATGTGAGAATAGTTACAGAAAGGAAAATTTTAGAATGAAAAGGCCTCAACTATAGAATCTTTAATAAATCTATTAGCAAATAGAAAGCTTTTACATCACGAGACAAAAAGGCAGAATGACATGGTAAAAAAAAAAAAAAAAAAAAAAAAAAAAAAAAAAAGTGATTAAATAAAAGATTACTTTTACAATGAATGTACCGTATTTTTCGCTCCATAAGACGCACTTTTTTCCCCCCAAAAAAGGGGGGAAAATGTCAGTGCGTCTTATGGAGCGAATGTAAAGCGGCCGGTCCGGTATTTCTGCAGCCACCATGTCAGAATACCGGGCCAGCCGCTCAGCTCTTCTCTCCTGCAGGACCTTACCTGTTCCTCGCTCCAGCACTGCAGTCTTCCCGCGGCGGCTTCTGTGACAGCCAGGTGCCCACTGCGCATGCGCGAGAAGCGCCGTGCTTTGTGAATGGTCCGGTGTCTTCTGGGACACATGGCAGGTCCCAGAAGGGTCCGGACCATTCACAAAGTGCGGCGCTTCTCTCGCATGCGCAGTGGGCACCCGGCTGTCACAGAAGCCGCCGCAGGAAAAGAAGGAAGGACAACTCCGCGGAAGTGGGAGCGGGTACCTGTCAAATTCAGGTACCCGTTCCCCCTCCCCCTCCCTCCCCAAAGGTCCGCAGTCTCTGGTCATCCCCCTGGTACTGTGTCCGCAGTCTCTGGTCATCCCCTGTACTGTGTCCGCAGTCTCTGGTCATCCCCTGTACTGTGTCCGCAGTCTTCGGTCATCTCCTGTACTGTGTCCGCAGTCTCTGGTCATCCCCTGTACTGTGTCCGCAGTCTCTGGTCATCCCCTGTACTGTGTCCCCTGTACTGTGTCCGCAGTCTCTGGTCATCCCCTGTACTGTGTCCGCACTGTGTCTGCAGTCCATTGGTTCAGAATATTTTTTTTCTTATTTTTCTCCTCTAAAACCTAGGTGCGTCTTATGGAGCGAAAAATACGGTATATTTTCATTGGTTTTACTCTGGTTGGTCTCTTTAAAATGTATGGTTATAAGTAGTGGTGCACCGGTATGAAAATTCTGGTGCCGAAACTTCAAAAACCACAGTTTATAATAATGCACACAAACACACTTTTTTTGTGAAATATGAAAGAGGATGTTACGGCGAGTAAATAGATACCAAACATGTCATGCTTTAAAATTACACATGCTCGTGGAATGGAGTTAAAATGCAGTACTTAAAAATCTCTATTGGTGATTCTTTAAAAATGTCTACAGGTTAGCAGTGCAACGTTACAGAGGAGGTCTAGTGCTAGACTTATTGCTCTTGAACCGATGTTTGTGGCAATACCTCACATGTGTGGCTTGAACACCGTTTACATATCTGGGCGTGCCCTACGTATGCGGTCACCACTACGTGCGAGCATGAAGGGGTGCACTTTTACTTTTTTGTTATTAATGTTTTTTGGGGTTTTGTTTGCATTGTCCCTTTAAAAAAAAAATTTTTAATCACTGATTCTTATCACAAAGGAATGCGTGGATCCCTTGTGATAGAAATAATTAAAGACAGGTCCTAGTTATGGAGTGATATGAGGTCATTAAGACCCCACATCTCTCCTCTGCAATGTAAAGCATTAGATTAAAAAATGGCCGGAAACGGAAGTGACATCGCTCCAGTCCTCCAAGGGCAGAGATGAGTGGAGGCCATCTTTACCTCACTAAAGCGCTATGCCCAGCGCCTGGATCGTTTGATGGTTTCTCAGGTAAGGTAAGTGGCAGTGAGGGGGCGGGGTTTTTCTGGCACCTGTATCGGTGCTTTTTTTTTTTTCATATTGGCCAACAGGGTTGTTTTCGGTCAAAATGTTTCGGCCACAGAAATTTCGGTGCACCCCTAGTTATAAGTAATTACATCAATAGATTTTTGACAAATTGAATCAGCAACTTTGTTACAGGACCTTTGACCTTAAAAAGGTTCTAGAAAGGAACCATCCTACAAAAGAGGACATTTAGTGGTGTTAGCACATGCAATGTTCTTGTAGACAAGAGGACACCGAAAAAGTTTTGCGGTTCTTTTCATTGGGGCTTCCAATTTTAGCACAGTTAAGACTGGCAGACTCCATCCAACCGAAGTTGCTCCCAAGCTGGCTGAAACATTACAGAACCTGCTAGTGATAGGGCGTCATCTTACTATTGACAATACTGAACAGATTACCGCATCCACACAATCAAGGTGGATGGGGAATACACTGATCAGCACCGAATGAAGCCAAAGTTTCCAGCAAGCCAGTTCATGACAAGTCGTTTGCCAGACTGACTATGCATGAACAGGAATGGCCACAGATAGATCAAAATTCCTCTGATCCCTGCTGAACCATAACATTTCGATACATCTATGGCCAGCTTTAGCGATTTTATCATTCCAGTAAAGATGCTCCTGCCCATTCTGACATTCATATACAGCAAGAAACTATGTTCATGGTTTTGGAATGGGAAGTCCAATAAATTTCACGTAAAGCAAGGTATACATGTGGAGCTTTTTTTTTTTCTTCAAACCAGTTCTGTTGAAGGAAAAAAAAAAACGAAAAAAAAAAAGAAAACCCCTCAGATACCTGCATCCACACAAAACGATGTGTATTCAAGGATCTTTCCTGCTATGCTATTGTATTCTGACCATCCTCACCCCTCCAAACCTATACCAACACCCCTCCCTTCACACGGTTTCCTCACAGAAATCACATGCCATTCATTCTATAATATGCATTTTAATAATTTTATTTAAAACACCAACACTATTGTCTGAATTTGTATTAGGAAGGATTACAGTAACTGTTGAAAGAAGGCATAGTGTGCTTTGCAGGCCTATGAAACCAAAGACGTGAAGGCAAAGGAGACCACTGTTAAAAAAAAAAATATATAATAGTTGTCCCCACCCCCACTCTATCCTGTTAAAGCTGTGGAAGGTTGCTAGGAAAGTGTTAAACATTTCTAAAACCAAAACTACAGAGACCTTGTGTGATGCAGGAGCTCAGCTTGCCTTACACTTGTCACACTAACCTATTCACAAGAACTGAAAGAGGAAATGTAGACAGCATATGTTATTCTTTAGCTAGGATGTCTTTTGAGTCCCATTACATGCAAGACTTTAAAAAAGTTCAGAAACCATGAATAACTCCAGCTCCATTTCTGTTAAATTATGAATAGAATGGAGAAAAGTTTGAACATAATCGGATTTTTATTGTTATATGTATTTTTTATATACAATGTATTTTTATTATAATCCATGGCCCCACTGAGGACATTTTTTTCTGTGATGCAGACAAAGACATGAACAGCCTAAGTGCCTGCTCACATAATTGCAGACTGGATGCGGTTTACCACCTAAAGAATATGTATTGATAGCATTGATTATACTGGCAGAAAGAAAGCATGCTTTTCTAACAGATTAGGTCTTGTTATATATGTTTTTCAATTGACTTTCAGCCTGATACAAGCCTTGAAAGCATAAAAAAAAAAATTAAAAAAAATAAATAAAGGAATGACACCGTACTGCGCAAACACATGTAGCATGCAATGCCACAATGCAATGGTGTGGATGGGGACTTAAAGTGAACCTGTACCTAGATTAAGCACACTTCAGTATTTACATTTCCAGAACAAGCAGTAAAAGCACCATAGAGTATACTTCCACTTTTGCATTCCAATTTGCTATAACACCACTTCAAGTTTGTTCTGTGTTCCCATTCAAACACCATACCTTAAATAAAAAAAAAAAAAAAAAAAAAAAAAAGGAATATTTCTTGCCCTAGAAGTATCTTGGGAGAGAGCCTGCAAGAAGGCCAGCTTCTACATTTTTAACCCTTTGTTAGGCCACATATTGTTCAAATCTAGTTTACAACTGATAATGCGATCTGCCAGCACAGTATAGACAGGGTTAGTTATGGCAAATACAGCTTCCTAGCTCGCTCAAAGAGAACGAAGACGGATTTTTCAGAGCTGAAGCTACCAGAAAAAGGTGTGAAGTCACTACTTAAGCCGGCCATTGATGGAGCCATTTTCTTGATTCCCCATCAACACAGTCAGGTGGCCATGTTGAAGGGGCCAGGTTACCCCTGCCCATCCCCACCAGGGGAACACAGCGATT